AAATAAACCTTTGAAATGTATAATTTTCTAAATGGACACTAAAGCTGTTGTACTGTATTGTTCTGTAAAAAGTGTTTTATTCTGTCTGCGCTGTTCTTCTCTCCTTTTTCCCTCAATCTTTTTTGACCAGCTTGTCCAAACCAATAATTAAGGAGCTGAAAAATCCTATAGATCAGATAAGAACCATACGGCTCATCAAAACACTTCATGTTGATTTGAACCTTTGACTTCAAACACTACATGAATCCAAACGTTTTGAACTGCAGTCATCTTAAACTTACTTACAAGAAGGAATTATTTACTAAAACTAAATCACAAGTTTAACTTCGAAGGGTTATTCTTAGCAGACTTAAATCAACATAGCTTTAGTGTATGAAATGAGCAGGATTACTGTACACCAACTATCTCTGACAAATAAAAAAAAAGTTTTGTGATCATTCTAAAATATATTGAGATAAATATGCAAACTTACTTCTTTTTTATTTTTACTGTATGGCTTTAGGCCAAGAATCACACATTTTATTGTCATTGTTCAACCATAAACACATTTTTCTGATACATCAGCATATATAATTCACAGACATGCATTAAAACACTTAGAAAATGTTGGAGAAAGCTTATGAGATTTCAAAATGTAAAAACAAGAACATTTTTACATTGAATGAGTCATGCAGTATTCACATAAAGTGCAGCATCTGATGAGACAGTATTTGATTTAGTTTATTTGTTGCTTTGTTCATCCTGACATCCGATCAGACCAGTCTGACATTTGTCCAGAGAACATGTTTGATGTTGATTAACTGTCCTTGAATTTAACAGGTCTCTAGAAAATACAATGTGACGTTGTCAGTGTTTGTTAATGGTTGAATACCAGATCATTTACTGTGAAAAATGCCCCAAAAAAATATTTTTTATGACACTAGATGAATTAAAGATAGATTTAATATTTTTTGATAACACTTATTCAATGTTCTGCACATTTGTAAGTGTAAGTATCCAAGTATTCCTTCCTGGTTTGACCCCATTCCTCATATATTCATTAGTGCACAATGGTTTGCAGAGTAATCGTCATGATGAGGCAGGCCTACATCCATCTGAGACACTGCAGACGCTCAGAACGTGAGAGACGTGTTGAGGCAACAGAAGGATGAGCGTTAGTTTGCCTTATGTGAAGCTGTGAGTCATTGGGCCTGAACAGATATAGGACTGACGCTCTCAGCCAAACAAATCGATGACAGTCTGTAACCTTTGGACTTTAGCCTTGTTAACCCCCCACTGCTATATCTACCCCCAATTTTGGCTCCAAACAGATGTGACTGTTTGGGGTATAGCCTGCTGTCTTATCATCTTGTACGTGATAGTTTATTTTATTCCCTTCGGGTTTCACTGCTTATTTTCCTTACAATTATTTTGCTTCTTGTATTACTATGCAACCCAAGAATTACCATTTTTGTGCTCTAAATTATTATTGTTATAAGGTTAACATTTATAATTTGTACTCCTAAGGTTTGTTTTGGCAGTTTTGATATTCATGGATAGAGAAATACATGGAGACTATGAAAAACTGCTGGACAGTTGTTGTGTATCTGGGTGCACTGGAGAACAATCACTCAACTGTAAAAGTGATTTTGCTTGAAGGCAAAAGTCCAGACAGAGAGATTTGTCTGTGAAAGGGATTTTATGAAGCTGTTCACGAGACATCAAATCCACAGAAGGGAGATAAACTGGTATTAGAAGAGATCGATGAGGATTTTTATTCAGCATGCATAAACAACCATCCAGTAGGCCCACAGTAAAAGAGACATACTGTTGCGTTTTGGGTTTTTTTTTTTTTTTTTTACCATAAAGAAGGTCTAAAAGAAAACCACCCCCACTCTACTGTGTCTTTCATTCTCACACCTACTCTCCTATATATTATATCCCCTTTGACAGGAAATGATGTGCCATAAAAGGCAATACTCCATCTTGTAAAGGGCATTTCTTTCACACTTTTCCACCTATTCACCATCCTTGTTTGTTACTTTCTTTATCAGCAGTGGTATTATTTATGTGACGCCATGCAAAAGGGTAAATAAATCTTCTGTGTTTTTTCACTGCAATGTATGCACTTATGAGCCATCAAACTAAAAAACAAGGGATGTAAAAAATGAATATATACTGACCCTTTGTGGTCTGTGGAGGTACTGCAACTTTTTATATTTCAGATTTCAAATATTTTGTACTCTAGATGTCAGTATTTCACTGCCTGGTTTTTGCAATCTGACCATTTCGTACCCCTATTCAAATAAATATATTCTTTGTTTTAATGTGTTGTGTTTTCCTTTTGCAGAATGTTCTCAGGTTATGTTAAATAAACAGTTTTGATGTATGCACACTAGTAACTACTTTCAATTCAGAGTTATAATTGAGTTCATAAAACAAAAAGATTTCAACCTGACCCTCCATAGAAAAAAATTAAGGTAATCCAGAAGATTAAACATACATAGATAATTTTATATATATAAAACATATTTTTCACCAAACCCAGAAATCTTATAATACTTCTCTTCTACTTTCTTAATGATGGGACATTGGATTTCTAAAATGTTGCATCTGGATTTATTCAGTACTTTTTCTATGAATTGTGAAATAATACCTATTTTTTCTCACTCTAAACATTTCTATTAGTAGAGTTATTTTTTTTTTTCACCAAGAGTTTGCTTTTGCAAGTATATTTACTCCGCTTTTTATTTCAACACATCACAAAAACTATTACAGACTGTAGATATATAAAAAACTTTCTCCTGATATTTTTTTTGGCTTAATCACTAACAATATAAAGTTTTTGAAATTAGTTTTTATTTCCAAATTTTTTTAATCCCAGGTGGAAATTAGGCTGGAAAATAAAAAACTCAGGCCAGATGTGCAGGAAAGGACAAACACTAGACTAAATAGTAAAAGTTATTTATTTAATTATTATTATTCATATTTTGAAAAATATATCAGTATTTCAGAATATGAATTCATGCAATTTTACAATTTTATCATTTAAGGTCAAACTTTTATTTCAAAATAAGTTCAAAGGTCCAGAACAGATTACGGCGAATTAAATTCTTTTTAGCAAACTTGCTTTCTAATAACATGCAAAGAAGCACAAAATGTGTTTGTGAACCCCACACTGTTCTAATTTTAAGTATAATGTCCACTAAAATAGGGAATTTATGCTTAAACTTGAACCTGATAAATTTTTATGACTCAACAAATACAATTTCTTTCTTAACCCACATTAAACAAACTAAACAAACATATAATTTTGGCTGAACAATCTTAATTTCTTTTTAAACTGTAATAACATCCTCAGAACGTATTTTTATTTAGTTTTGTCCACTGGAATGTATTTACGGTAATTTTTTTCTATTTTTTTACTGTTTCAGAATTTAAAAAGCTGATATTATATCTACACACGTGATCTTAAATGTGTAGTAAAGTCATATAGACCTAGGAAAAACATCATTACATAGGTTTATGCTCAACATCTTTACTCTGCATGTTTCTGACAAGATTTGATATGCTCACATTAGCATAATTCCTCTGTGTTTTTATGTGACTTATTGATCATTTCTCTGCATTTTTTTTTTTTTTTTTTTTTTGTTTTTTGTTGTTTTTTTTTACAACTGATTACACTGTTATAGAAGCATGCATCCAAGTCTTAGCCTTATGGCTTAATTTAGTCACTTTGACATTTGAACTATTTGAAATAAACCTTAAGATTAAAAGTAAGAAAAAAATGTATGCAAATATGTTTTTTCAGTATTTTATCACACTTAATAAAATGCAGTTGAAATGATCTTAAAGAAGCGTCTTTGTTTTCAACAACCTGCTGAGTTTCTTTAAAAAAAAACTTTTTTAACAGGGTATTAGTTTGATTTGACTGAACTGATTCTGGCACCTATATCACAAGGAATTAAAATCGATTATTAAGTACATTTCTTGTTAAACACCTTAATAAGAAGTGGGTAGTAACTAGTTACATTTACTGGAGTAACTTTTAGATAGAAAAAAAAAATTAGGAATTTTACTTTCCTTTTTACTGTTACATCAGTAATACTTGTGTGAAAGTTCTCTTATTTGAATATATTTGCAGGTCCCAACACGACTAACCTGAGCTACTCAGAGATCAGGTGAAAATACAGTAAACCATAGATAAGTCCTTTATCTTTTTCTTTTATATATGTATTAGCTACAGTAAAGATTGGTTTTATAAGTTTATGCCAAGAAAATGTATGTGAAAGTGTTTTTCTACACAAATCTGTTATGTGGTAATCATTACTCACTATTTATTTGTATTTTGTATTACATTTTATTTTATACATGGAAATTACATTTAAAATTATGCAAATAACATGATTTTAAACATTTAATAACATGCTAGGAGCCAACAACTGCTTGGTAGTTAGAAGGCAATTTCATCCAGTAATGTCTTACTCTTACTTGAGTACTTTCCTGGATTATTACTTTCTACTTTTACTTGATTAACATTTTGGATAGTTTATCTTCTGACTTATTGACTCATCTTTAGTGCTTGATTCAAAATTCTGTCATATATAGAGAAGGCGCTCTGCTCTTTAAATCTGCACATAATTCCCTGCAGGCTAAATGCGTGTGTAACGGTCTTTACAAGAGATGATGCTTTCCTCCTATTACAATAAGAATTAATCCAAACAACCAAAACAGCAAACCTATATTTATGTTACTGGATGTGATTTTTTTTAGGACTTAATAACATAAAGTAGATCCTAAGATAAAGGTCAAAGGCCAGGCATTTACCATGAGTTACTTGTTACCTTAACATAATGACTGAGAAGCTATTTCTCTCCCGTGGTGGAACAAATAGCATGCACTGTAAAAGCCAGCTGCCACCTCTGACCCCTCTTCCTTAAGTTAACTTCTTCCTGCTATTGATCACTTGGATTCCTCTGATGTTGAGAGTACGTGTTAGAATTCCCTTCCAGATAAAGGTATTCCAGAAGTCATTATCCACAGCAGCCTCAGAGCTCATGTGTGAAAATCCCTCATACAGAAAAGGGCCTTGAAATGGATTGTTTAAGCCAGTAATGGTTGGTGTGGCCCAGCCTGTTCTTATAGTCTTTAACTTTCACAGATTAGGGATTAATTAATTGACAAAGTTAATGAAAGAACAGACTCTGACATAGGAGGTCTAACTCATGCAAGGTAAGTGCATAAGTTAAATACTGATAACATTAATTACTTAAATAAAAGGAAACAAGATTGATGCTGAAGCAGGTAAATCATTTAAAATATAATTTGAAAATTTTAAAAGGGTGAAAACGATTCACACAATTCTGGTATTAATGTTTGAGGCACATTAGAATATTAGTAAAAATTTCATTTTTTTTTTTACTATTTCATTAAAAAAATTAAAATGATGTTACATAGATTAAACACATAACAAATGGTATATTAAACATATTTTAAATGTAAATTATGTTCAGTAAATTATTTTTTATTTTGATTTTTGAAAAACACTTTTTATAGTATTCTATATTTTACAAACTCTTTTTTCTTAGTTGACTTTAAAACAAAATAAATAAATAAAAAAATGCCAGATGGACACATCAACTCAACATGCATTCATCTTTTATATCCTGATTTATAATTTCTTGAAGGTCTGCTGATGACATGAAAACTTTTTAGCGCTTAGGAAACACAATGATTGTTCTTAAAATACTGAAATTATATACAGCACAAGTTGTTCTAATAAACGTCTTCCCTTTTCTCACAGAAAATGCAATTGAATACACTTTTGCTCCTGTTCTTCACTGTTTCTGGATTTTCTAAGGCATTAAAGGCAGGTAAGTACCAGGTTACAACCAACAACAAACAACAAACTATTGTGATATCTTCAGAAAGTAATTTAGCCTTTAATGAAATTCATTATGCTTTTAGTTATGTGAACATCAAAGCATGACTGTGAACATTTATTAACTGACAAGAAGGTTGTAATATAGTTTTATACATGAGGTGCATGAAATAAACACTAACAGTAGTTGAGTTCTGTCCAGTAACCTAATAGCAGTTATATAAAATTCACCTTGACACAAAGAGCAAGACTGTTCTAGTTTAAATAACTTTTAATATCAAGGTTCAGTTAACATCTGAAGAGTTACAAGGCCAACTATCAGCACCTGGATTTAATTTATCTCCCACAAATTTTTCGATCCGTTTACTTTGATTATTTTCAGTAATTGTGCTCATCATAATAAAACATAATATTAGTAAATATAGAAAAAAAAGTGTGAGAAAAATATATCCGTTATATGTTTAGAGAAACATGAGTCTTACTAAAATATGGCATATGACTGGGGCTCATTTTTTGTCAACTTTCTATGTTTTAATTTGCAGCAGAGGTGGATGGCATAAGGATAGATGTTTCTGATAAGGAGAGAGAAAATGGAGGTGAAAACCTGGAAGAAAATGAACAAGAACAAATGATGGACAGATTTACAAGCCTAACAAAGAAGACATCTGAGAATAAACCAACCACAGAGGAGAGAAGGAATGAGAAGGGTCCACGCTTTAAAGGAGAGTCAGAGAGAATCAGTGTGCAAAAGAATCAGAACCAAATCTCTTTATTTAGCAATATAGATGATTTCCTAGAGGAAAATCAACAATATATAAGAAGATTTGAGGAAGCGTCAATGTCAAACACAGATTCTGGAATGAATTTAGTTCCAGAATCAAACATAAATAGGTTAGGTTGCAGTAGGGGGCTAAAGATGATTAGAAACTGCACCAATAAACAGGAAAAACAAGTGGTGAAAACCAGTGCTACAATAAAGAAAAATAATCCGCTAATAGAGAAAGACAGAAAACTGGATGCTGTAATTCCTCTTTTTGACAAAAGACGAGACACTAAAGATGATAAGAATACTAAAAGGATAGCTTCAGATTTAAAGTTGAGAAAGGTGGAGGAAAAGGATCCATTAATATTAGAGGCTAAAACAATCACAGCAAAGCAGTCAGTGGATATAAACAAAGTCCATGAGGCAAAAAAGGAGGAATTTATCACCACATTACAAGCAGTGAAGCCAAACCCAGCAGATTTAAGGTTAGTAGGCAAACTAAAATATTTAAAAACAATAGAGGAAAAGAAAACAGAAGAAATAAATGAAAATATACGCACTGGAAAAACAGTATATTTTACTCCCAGGCCAAGTATAACCCTAACTCTGGGGGAACCAAGAGCTGTTACACAGATGAGAAAAGACAACACATTTACAGACAAGTATAATAAAACATCTCCAACCGAGCCACAAGGAACCAAACCTTCCATAAAGCTGAAACTTCTACCAACCACAGTAACATCAATGACTCCAACAACAACCATCAAGAGTAGCAGAAATAAGAAAAAGTCCAAGAAAAAGAAAAGGAGGAAGGAGAATAAAACACCAACACCACAAGAGACAATGAAGAAAATCCCTCCAGCAGTTTACTTTCCATACTTCATGGATGACTACTGCCCACCTGAGTGCGCCTGTTATGGAAGGTAAGACTGTAAACCTTCACCATCAAACACTTTACCATTAAACAATGCATTCTAAACTAATGTTTGTCAGGATTTGGTATGGATTGTTGACCCAAAAGCAGAGGCAGGAAGGCAGAGGTTCTTGTGATTTAATGAAGGTTTACTGAAAACAGAGGCAGGTAATCCAAAAATCCAAAAGAAAACAAAGTCCAAACTAACAGGAAACCAGGAGTCCAATAATCCAAAAAATCAAAACAAGAAAACAAGTCAAAAACGAACCAGAAACCATGGAGACATCAGGGGAATCACTATCAAAAGGAAGAAGGCTCAGAGAGAAGGAGTTGGAGCATGTTTGATGAGGACCCAGCAAAGAAGAACTGAGCAGAGAGGGTATTAAAGGGAGACTACGATAAAGAGAGGAGTAAAAAGCAGATTGGGAACAGGTGTGCATAGAGCAGAACAGAAAAGGAGCTAGGGAAAAAGGAGAACACAAGGGGGGAGCATGGAGCAACAAATAAAAACCTAGAAAACTGAAAATAACCAGAAAACACAACAAAAAAAGAATTAAACCATAAAAAACAAGGAGCAAAGCAAAACTGAACATACAAAAGAAAAACATAACAGAACCAGAACTCTAAAAATGTTATATACTGTGTGATATTTTACCTACTGCAAATTATTGTTACGTTAAAAACCTAATAAGCTAAGAAAAAAAAAAGTTATATAGATAATTTGAATAGTTTAAAAGCTGGTTTAAAAAGATAATAATCTTAATTTAAAAGTTTAAAAAAATATATTATAATATACCTGTATCGGCATTAATGTTTTGAGGTTTCTGTAAGCATTTTTTAGGAGTTTCTTATAGAAGCGCTCCCTGGATTTTTTTTTTTTTTTTTTTTTTAAACCATATTAGGGCAAGTTAAAATTTTTGGTAATTACATAGGACTTGATTTTTGTAATAAAAATATATTTTTTTCAAATGTTACATATGTAATTAAGTCTTGTTGTGCTTTCCACTAACACTCTTACTGGAAATTTTGAATTTTTAAGTATTTCACTAAATGCCCAAAGATAGAATATAAGCTGGTGATTGAAATATAAAAAAAAAAATCAACTAAATTTAAAATAGAAGGATGTCCCACCACATTTGGCATTTTCTAATTCCAAGTCATGGCTGGATATTTATCACCATGCATAGCTTAATAAGCCAACAGATTCAGCAGTAATGTAATTGTATCTAATCTAACTTACCAAGGACATTCGGAGTATTCCCTGGGTTATCCTCATAGGTGTGTATCATCTTTTTATGGACCGTGAGTCGATTGAATAAAGTAATCAATTTATATGCTTTGATTACAGAATTTTATATTGTTGCCATTTTTATGATCTTACACAACTTAACTTTGGTATATGTTTTATTTTAATAAGAACTTTAACATTATGTTTTTTTTTTTTTTCAGAGTTGTCCAGTGCTCTGATAAAGGTGTTGAACAGTTTCCATATGGAATTCCCTATAAAACCCGCAACATCCTCTTGATGAACAACAACATCAGCAGCATCCAGCTGGACTTACTTCGTGATTATTCTTCCATGGAATTAATTTCCTTAAGCAACAATCGACTCACAGATGGAGCCATTGAGGGATCTTTTGAGGAAATTCCTTCTCTGAAGCGTCTCTATCTGGATAGAAATTTCCTCCAAAGCGTGCCAACTGACCTCCCAGATTCTCTCGAGGAGCTGCGGCTGGACAGCAACAATCTGATGATGATGTCAGAGGCAGTTTGGACACAATGTCCCAGACTGCTGGTTTTAAGTTTGAGCAATAACAGCCTAGGGAATGGATTTAAATCTCTTCCTCCAGGTGCATTTTCCCCTTTGCGCAATCTACGTACTCTGAACCTAAATTATAACCAATTGGCCTCAGTGCCCCTGGAGCTACCGCTGTCCATCAAGGAGTTATATCTAAGAGGGAACCATATTAAGCAGTTCAGCAGAGGGGTTTTTAAAGGGATTTCAGAGCTGCTAGTGTTGGATCTAAGTGTAAACAAGCTGAAGAGCAAAGGTCTTCTTTGGGATTCCTTCTTCAATGCATCACACTTGGAAAGCCTCAACTTAGAAGCAAACCAACTGAAACAAATGCCGCAAAACCTTCCTTATTCCCTGAAAACTCTAAACCTTGAAGGCAATCTAATATCCTCAATAAAGAAAACCTCCTTCTCTAAGTTGATTAATCTGGAGCACTTGGGAATAGCAAGAAATAAGATTTTTAAAATATCCAGCGGTGCCTTTAAGACCCTGTCTGTCTTGCACCAGTTAGACCTGTGTCACAACATGTTGCGCCAGGTGCCCAGGCAGCTGCCTGGTGGTCTGCACTCGGTTGCACTCACGCATAACAAGATAGAGTCAGTACCCCATGATGCATTCTGCTGGGGTAATCAAAGTCACAGCAGGCTTGTACAAGTGCAACTGGAATACAACTTCATTGACTTGGGAAAGTTGGATGAAAAAGCCTTTAGATGTTTACGAGGAATGCAGGTCCTGCATTTCTACTGAACTGATAAACTGTTACAATTGAAATAAATATGCTGCTTATTACGTGACTATTTTTTTATATCTCCCCTCCTCTTTAACAAAGACTTCTGTCCTCCCAGACCAACTTCAATAATACTTTTCTATACTTATTACATGTTAAGTCCATCCCAAACTAAATCTTCATTTCTGACTATTTTTCTGGGAAATATTTTCCTTGTAGGTGTATAAAGAAGTTTTTCCATTCAATAAGAGCCCCCTAACATTACGAGAACACAACTATGGGTTTCTAACCCTTATAAAACAAATAGTGACCTAATTGGAATATCCCTCCTGAAAATATTTAAACCACATTTTGCTGTAAAAAATAAAAATGACCCACTAAGAAACAAATGTGGTTAAAGCAATTAATTTGTGATGCATCAACTTCCACGAGCAGGAACATTCTGTTTTGCACAGTATGATATTGTATGGATTAAATTATTATTGTCACTGATAAAAACAGAATGTTGTTAAAGCATTTTGGGTTGTTTTCTCGTGCAGTAGAAAAATAAAATCTTTCTTTTGATGTCTCGGATAAATAATGCATGATTGTCATAAAGAAGTAACTGAAAACAATAAAATCAAAGTCCAGATTCCCTGAGGATCCAGTAACTCTTTTCTGTTTTTCTGTCCATGACTTTTCCTTCCTGTAAACAACAGAGAAAGATAAGTTACTCCAGATCAATGCAGTTATGTTCTGTTTTTGTCTTTTTTGCAAAAACCAAAGTGTTTGTATTCTGACTGGAATGTTTGTATAATAAATCAGATTTCGTTGTGAACCTGGCTTTATATAAGACAGTTTTAATCAATCATGACTCACCTGCAAGCCTTTCTAAAGTGTTTCCACTAAAAACTTTTGACTTTCATTAAAAAGAATAAATAATAAAAACGTTAAAACCCATCTAACATTTGATTGGGCCACACTGACAGACTTACCAGACTGAGGTTCTGTTGCAAAGCTGCTGCATGATGGTGCAAAGTCATGGGTTGATTCCAACATATTTCTGCTAGTGCAGCAGGTTCTGTTATTTGTGTTTGAGCTTTTTGACGAGTTTCTTCTCTTTTCCTGAAACATCTGTTGAATTTGACAGGATAACATAATTAAAAAGGAGCAAGCAGCCTCTGCAATAACAGAGAATTACCAGTTGGTTTCTTTGAACAAAACAAAATATTCAATTTAAAAGTATGTCCTGGTCAAATTGTTTAATAACACTTCATCTGGGAATCCCAGTTATGACACACAAACTAAAAAATCCGATAATATCTGCTAAATAAACAACGTTGGCTGTGGTTTCTAACAGTTAGGAGCAAATAAACAGCTTTATTATATAGATAACTATTAAATTCTATTAAATTCAGTCATGAGCTGTCTTAAGATGTGAAAAAGAAATTATGGTGAAATGACGTGGTGGTTTGTAGCAAACCCACTAGATGGCGGTAATGTACAGGATTTAGTTCTGATAAGAACTGCATTTATTTGGTTATACAAAAAGTAACACTTTATTTACACTTAGATTTTATACAGAGTAGATATAAAGTGTGTTTTTAATCGCTACAAAACCTGCTTTCTCTAAGCTAAAAAAAATGTGAAGCAGAGAGAAAAAAAGCAAGAACTAAGATGTTGAACTGTGAAACCACGTTTGATTTTAAAAAGTTCTTTCAAAATGAAATTCAAAAATATTTTTCTTTATCTTATATGTCATTGTAACTATTATTCACCAACTTTGGACCAAATCATTGCAAGGAAAACCTCACACATTTGCTGCAAAAGATGCTTCTAGGTTTGTCTTGATATTACTAAGGTTTAAATTTGACTAAGAGCCTAAATATATCTAAATGGTAAGTAAATACTTTGTTATAGATAATTCATAACACAAATTGGAGCTAAAGCATGAGCCTATGCAAAGGTTCTAACCAGTTTTCTTTTTTTTTTTTTTCCTCCCTTCTCTCCTAATAAGTTCTCTCATCTACGTGGCACTGCACCCACAGGACCTGGGACAGAAGAACAGGAGGAGGGGGTAGAAGGGAGGGCCAGGGAGACGAGGAGGGAGGGACGCGTAAAAGAATGGATCCAGGCTCCACCAGTTCATGCTGCAAGAGTCCAGAAGGGAAGAGTTTCTGTTGGGGCAGAGAGCTCACCAGCACCTCCCTACGGTCCAGCAGGACCTTAACCTTCATCCTACCTCTTCTACCTGCAGGCTCATTCTTTTATTGTTTGTTCTCATTTATTTTTCTGCTTTTGTATTCAAACAGATTTTATTTCTTCTGCTCATCTTAAGATCAAATTTCTTTGTTTATGTATGCACACTTTATGTAATACAGTACCTGCAAGCACAGCTGTTTTTCTTGTCATCTTGTGTGTGCAGGAACCATTCCTATGGCAGAGTGATTCAATGTGCTGGTTTAAGGCGGCCAGCAGATGGTTGCATTTATCTGTCTGCTGCTATATTCTGTGCAGGATACCATTTGATATTTATGCCTATTCAAACTGCAAATCTTAGAATTGCTTGGAAAAGACTGTTGCTCAGATTGATGTAGCTTGATCCAAAACCACTGCCTCATTAATCAATCACTAACTCCCTGCTTGGAGGCATATCATGCAGCTGATTGGTGCAGCTCTAGGTACATTTCCAAGCATGGGTATCTGTGGTACATCGTTCCTTCTCTCTGCCTTCCAAATAAAAATTTTGCAGCTGAAAATACAAAATCTGAGCCCCGTGTTTGATTCTTTTGGTCAGATACTAACTTCTTTCCCTGAACTTCTTCATGAATCAGACCACAAAAGGATCAGGAATGCAAAAAAAAGAAAAGGAGCAGCGGGAACAGGATATTAAACCACACCCTACTGGTGATCCAAGGCAGACAAAAATGTAAATGACCTGAGCTTTGGTAGGATTCAGCTGCTGTTTGTTGGCTTTTATTAAAAGCGTCCATGCTTCAGTTCTTCAAAGGTTCAAAATGTAAAGGAACTAATTCATTCTGTTTTATGCAGACTCAATTCAATTCAAAATTACTTCACTAATCCCAAAGGGAAATTAAATGTTGCAGAACTGATACTGACTGGGAGTAAAGAATTATAGTTACGAGAACTATATGACAAGTTAAATGCCTGTGCTCTGCACTGCAAGTTTAAAAAAGCTGAGCATGTCTATGTGGCTCTTTTTCTTCCCTGTGCACACCCACAAAAAAACACTCTTGCTGCATGGCAGTTTGAACACCTCCAATTGACTGCATTTATCCTTGAAGACCCAAGACAGTCCAGTACATCTCCTGTAACTTTATATCAAGTGCAGCTCGGAATTTATGTCTGGACTCTGAAATGAACCATGAGACCCATCTATAAAATGTTTTCTAATATTGATCTTTAAATGTTTTGAATTTGTCTCTAATTCTTAAAGAGCTTTACCAAGCGTGGCAGAGAGGTGGCGCTTTTGTTAGCCAAGCAACGAAGATGAGAAGGAGCAGGGCTGGAGGAAAATAGGGAGGGGAGAGAGTAAGGGAGGAGGGGATTGAGAGAGAAACCATGGGAGCCAGAGGGACCTCAGACACATCCCAGCCTATCAGCATGCCACAAACTCAGACTTAGGGGTGCTCAGTTTGCAAACCTTTGCAGTAGGTTGTAACTAAAATATAAACAGAATGTCCTGCTGTGTGCCTGTAAGTTTTACAGTTCAATACGTACAAAGTAAGCACAGTGCAACCTGCATGTAATTAGTGCACAGATGAGAATCCAAGACAGGGCTTGTGAAGGAACATCATAAGTAGGGATACACATTTTTTCTATGTTTGCTTCTATTTAGAGATTTGAATAATCATAATTTTTCTAAAATATTTTATTAACGTAGAAAAATTTAGACAAAACTGGAAGAACATTGTGCCACTGATCGCCCTCAGAGGTCACTTAGAAAACAAATTTCTGTCATTTCATGTTTGAAAAAGGGTAGCTGTTCTGTAAAAGTGTTAAGAAACAAAAGTTTTCAGGGAGCCAAGACCAAGAGACACCCAGGATGATGAAAAATGAAGGTCTGGAGACGTTTAAGGCAGAGATAGGTTGAAGAGTGAATAGCACAACTGCAAACCTGAAAACATGTGACATCCAGATGGAGCAAAATAAGAATTCATTTAACAACACGGTCCAGAAACCAGCAGCACCTCTGGAAGAAACAGTGCAAAATATTCTGCAATTCTGGAAGATAAACCTGTTAGAGGCCTTCGCACGGTTTTAGATCAACAGACATTAATGTGTTTAAGATCTAGTCAATGATTAAAACCTAATCTCAGAGAATATCTGCTAAAGCTTGAAAATTCTTATTCACAAACATTTTCCCTTCAACCTAACTGAGTTTTCGCTTTTCTGCAAGAATTATCAGGCTACGATGTTTTTTTTTAAACAAAAGAAAAAATCTTTTTTTATTTTCTCATGTCATATCATTGCACAACCTTATTTTTTTCATGCATGACCAAAAATGAACAGAGGGAAGACAAATCATGCATTATCCATTCCTAAAATGTATGTGTTAAGATGTGCAAACCCAGTAAAGACAAAACCCCAAAGACTTTTCAGCTGTTATCACAGCTATAATTAGATATACACACATTTTCTTTTAACTTTACTGTTAAGTATAAAATAGAATCAAATTTCAATTCATTTGAGTTTTTCCTGTGACACAATGGAAAATGATACAGGGATGTTAACACTTGTAAGGCACCGGTTAATAACAGAGTTTTAAAGTTTAACATTTTCATAATTTTAAATACTTGCCTACTTTGCTTTCTTTTGTTTTATGTAACAGGGAAGATTAAAGCAGCAGCCAAAGTGACATCACTGTCTAAAAGATCTTCAAACTTAACCTCAGTCATTACAGACCCTTTGGTATCCACTCCAACATTCTCAGATCCAAATAACCTGCTGAGGTTTCAGAGAACAGTAATAAATGAGCTAACATTTTTATTAAGTTTTTCTTCAGAGAATAAAGAACAATTAGACTAGCTTGCTTGGATTGGTTGAAACGTTCCCTTCACTTACCAGAAACAAAGACTGGCAGTTTCATCTACATAAAGCACATCTGCCATTTCCAAGCTTCCTTAAAATTAAATCTGATAACTGTTTACCATTAAGTCAATGTCTGTTTATATTTCAGCATTTCCTGCTGCAATTGTTTGAAGCTGTTTGGGCTTACAGACAGCAATTATAGAATATAGAAAGAGACAGTCAGGGGTCATAGTTATATCATCACAGTACAGGAAACATTGTTGGTATTCCCCTTGGCCTTCAACTGTCTGTTATAAATAAAATATTGTGTATTGGTTGTTCCCTTTTATTTTGTTGTTCAAAGTTGTATTCAAATTTTAATATTTGACTAAATAGGAATTGAAGGCAGCCATATGTTCTAAAAATGTCTATCTTTTGGTTTAATTGTTTCATTCTTAGATAGATAGATAGATAGATAGATAGATAGATAGATAGATAGATAGATAGATAGATAGATAGATAGATAGATAGATAGATAGATAGATAGATAGATAGATAGATAGATAGATAGATAGATAGATAGATAGATAGATAGATAGATAGATAGATAGATAGATAGATAGATAGATAGATAGATAGATAGATAGATAGATAGATAGATAGATAGATAGATGGATGGATGGATGGATGGATGGATGGGCGGCCGGACAGACAGACAGACAGACTTTAATCCAGACTCATGGTCCAGTATATCTATATAACAATTTCTGCATTTAACCCATCCCCTTGGGG